CCTGGAGCCCTACACCACCAGGTGACTGGCACAAATCTAGTGCAGGCTTGGTCTGACATGAAGTTACTTTGATATAATAGTGCTTTGTTGGCCAGTGTGAAATAACTGGCCTGTTTCATGCCAGTTCTCACAAGACAAGTATCTACATCATGAAATAAATAGTTCTTCCGACCCTACTAGGACTCTGCCCAAGAGAAAAATATCTAGACGAATAAAGTCTGAATTTCAGCCTACCCACCCCTCTCTCCACCAGAAAAGTGACCCCTTCCTCACTGCTCCATCCAAATCAATAACCTCTGGATGGTCATTGTCTACATCTGGCAAAGCCTGTATGCCACTGTGCAGACTTAGTTTCCTTCTGAGATGAACCACAGAGGTTTCCAGGTTTAGACACAACGTTAACTGGAGCAAAGTTCCCAATGCATTACTAATGGGACAAAAGAATAAATTTCATTTTAAAGTGATTTTCAAATCTCCCAACAGAAACACATCTGAAAGTACTTAAGAAACACATTATATCCCTAGTGGTTGAAAGAAAAAAGAAAAAAACAACTCTGTCTTGCTCCATAAAGGTTATTGAAAATACTATGCGATTAATACTATTTACATGGCATTGAGCTAAACTCAAAAGGTAACACTTAACCACTCTCTGTTTACCAAGTTAATCTACCAGATTTGTTTACTTTGTCTGATTTACTAAGACAAATACGTTGAGTGTCTGAAATGTTTTATCTGGCCCTGGGAAAGGAAAACTAAAGCAGTGTTGTGCTTTTATTAATAGATAAGTGCAAACAGGCCCTATCCTATCAAATGAACAGCTAGGACCTTTGGCCACTGTTTACTGAAAATAAAATTAGCCTTGGCTGGCAGGTACTTATCAGATCTGAGAATAATTAACTACCCACATCTGGTACATGTTACTGAAAATGCTAGTGGGAGCCATTAACTTTGTTAAGGGTTATTTTTCCTGAACAGCTAACATCCCCCTAACATACCATTGGAATGTACTCTTTCTTCCCAAACATATTCATAGCAGCACCAAAAGCAGTTGCACAAGCTGTCTTCCCACTTTAACCCAACAGAAAAACAGTTTTAGAAATCCAAAAGAAATTATCAAGACATGGTTGGTTCCCACCAGACTACACAGTGCAAGCATTGGGAGCTTTGCAAACAAACAGGGGTCATTTTAAGTTAATCAATAATAACACTTTGCACTTTAAGTTGTTTTGTTTTTTTCCCTCAAAGGACTTCAAGGAACATTACCAATGAGGAATAAAAAAAGTATAGTTTTCACAATTCAAAAGGAGAGCCTGGGAACCAACATCCCCCATTACTAGTCAGTTGAAAAGGCAGTGATCAAATTCAGGTACATTGTGCCTAGTTCATTTGTTTTCTATCCTAACAATTTCTTTACCAAGTAATGGTTTCCAGAATTTTATTAAAGGAAAGGAAATGCTCTAAGGCATTCATATAAATAAGCAATGCAAAATAAATCATTTATATTTATGTCACGGAGGCTAAGAGACAGGAAACTCAAGGGCTCTGCAATTAGCTTGCTGTGAAATTCTAAACAAGTCAAATGACTTGTTTAGTCAAGTGACCTCTCATCTCTCTGCTCTATAAAACTGGGATTACCAACCTACATCACAAAGCTGTGGGGAGGAATAAACTTCCCACAGCACCAGGAAAATGCTTGTAAATAGAGAGATAAGAAATTCCAAATCTCCAAAACACTTCTTCTCAAGGAAAATAGCAGGACTATACTAATAATAAATTACACCACTTTACTCAGCACCATTTGTCAAGGTATTTTCCCAACAATTTTTTGTAGACAAATATCATTGCCCCTCCCAATGTGACAAAAGAAGTTGCATTCTAGTGATTAAGACCTTGGGTGGTTTGAAGCTCAGCAGCTGCTCCCTATTTCCAAGGAGACTACAAATTGGATTCTCTTAACAATGAATAGATGGTCTACTGTACAAACATACCTTACTAAAATATGCTGGGTGGACAGACATCAGACGCCTTAGTAGATGACGACCTGTACTAAGAAACAGAGACGTCTAAGAATATGGAGCCAGTAAATAAGGCTTGGGAAACAATGTGATAAGGTTGATAAGTAAATAAGGTTGGAATAATACGTGAGGAGGAAATACAATACAAAGGAGCGAAGAGAGGCCAGAGAAAAGCAGAAGAAATAGAAAAAGCAACAAGTATTTCCTGGAGTGGGTAGTATGGTCAGGTGAAGACTTGAAGCCAAGTCAGCGGGGATGACAGGCATGAGCCGGAGGAACATCAAGTGACTAAGAGAGACAGGCGGAGGGTCTTCCACGTCAGATATATCAAGGCAAGTAGAATTATTTGGTTGAAATCAGAGAAAATGTTGATCTGGTTTGGGTCCAATGAGGTTGAAGAGAACCAGAGAGAGGAATGGATTTGTAATTCCATGCGTGCAGTCATGAGGCATCTGGACCACAATACTAAAAAATTATTAGTGTAAAACTGGCAAAATTAGAAAATATTAAGTCCCAAATCTTCCAACTCCAATAATAAATTTGCTTATATGAATGCCATCTGTAGTATCCCTCTGATCATTCAATCATTCTGCTAGAATACTAGTTGTGGTTTGACTACAGGAGCACAGCTTTCCTAGGATTATTCAGATCTGCACAATTCAGAAACCACTTGCAGTCTCAAAGAGGGAGACAGTTCAAACTAACTTCATACCATCAAACAAGAACGTACATTTCTCTGAAGTGTCAAACCCCATAATCACCACCTATATAATACATTAAATGCACTCTTCTGCCTTCGTTTTTCTTTCACAAAGCACTGGCTTATAAAAAGAAAATTTCTGTACATTTTCTAGTACATTAAATCTCTTATTATTATAAGAACTTTAAAAAATGCCTTGGCTGAGAGTTTTAAAAATAATTATTTTGCCTGGTATAGAATCTTCCTCTCGAAATTTTTAAAAGGCTTCCAAGATAAACATATATTTGTTTTAAAAGAATTCAGTATTTAATTTAAAATATCCCTAGATTTACATTTTGAGGAAAATTTCTATGGTTTTGGAATGAAAAAATTATGCCTGGAAAGTTAGCTAAAGCCTACCTAAGACAATTTTTTTTTTTAAAAAAAGGAACATATGTGCTATTTCAACTTACCCACTAAGCAAGAGAATTCAGTATTCTAAAATTGGCTGCTATGAAAATAAAACAGTTTCCCTGAATTGAGAGGTTACTTAATTGTACCTAGATGTTTGAATTATTTCAATCTTGCTTTGTATTACATCTTTCTTTCAAAATTTATGTTAATAGTCATAGCCTGGAAATGGAACCTACAAAATAGGGCTTCTTAACTTTAGCACTGTCAACATTTCAGGCTGGGTAATTCTTTGTTGTGAGGATTCTGTGCACTGTAAGATGTTTAGCAGCATCTCTGGTTTCTACCCAGTAGCACCTCTCCAACCTCCCTCCACAGTTCTGATAACCAAAAATGTCTCCAGACTTGGCCAAATTTCCTCTGGAGGCAAGATCACTCCCAGCCGAAAACCACTGCTATAAAGGGATGGCAAGCATCACAGTTTCATTTAGAGAAGGAGCATGGTATTCCAGGGACACAACAAAGGGTGGAGAAAAAGAGGACGGGCTTTAGAGTTAGGTAGATTTGGGTCAAAATTAGGACTCAATCACTTGTTAGCTGAGTAGCTTAGTGAACATTAACTTAATTAAGCCTAGACTTTCTCATTAACAAAATGTGAATAATAACATCCTGGTAGACATCTGTCTTTGCCGTCCATCATCTCTTTTGTGGGGAAGGGGTTAAGAAGCGCTCTCTTACTTTAGGGGAAACAGCTCTTCCACTCTCAGTCTACCTCTGTTCCAGGGTTGAGCATGTGAACCAGACTTAACCAAGGAAATAAGTGCATCCCTCAGGCCTTAATGGTTCAGGAATGGGCATGTGACCCAGGCTGGGCCAATTATACACAATTCTGAGGCTTTTGCTGGAGCAAACAGGAAAGATTCATTCCCGTTCTGTTAAAGTTGCTAAGCTAGTATCATATAAGCCTGAAGTTTATGAGTGGGAAAAGCCAACCTAGTGAAAAACAGATTCAAGAGACGTAGAGAAAACAAGCCCTGATGAAATGATGTCTAATACCTGAAGCCACATCTACCTCTTAGATTTTTCAGTTATGTTCGCTAATGAATTTCCTTTCATTTTAACTTAAGTCAGTGTGAGTTGGGTTTTATCACTTGGAATCAAGAGTCCTGTCCAATAAATTATCTATTAACAGCTGTGGAGAAGACCAAGTAAAATAATGAACCCAACAGGCCTATAAAGAGCTGCCTTCCCCTGATTCCCAATTTATAGAAATCAAAACAAACACCTACATAAGAGCTCAAAACACAATACAGTGAAAAAGCAGACAAAAGAACCCATGACTTAGCTTGCGCTCTTTTCAATAAACTGTTAGACACTCTAAGAGAGCTTAAATTCACGGAGCCAAAAATTTCTGTGCTTTAAGTTACCTACAATCAGGTCAATGAATAGCACACGCAAATTTGAGTTTGTTTTCTTTGTTACCATCATTTTTAGGTGGCCAACAGTAAGGGTTTGCTTTGAGTATAAAGGTTCCATAACATGATTTTATTTTATTGCCAAAAGGCTGAAAGAAGGGATTTATAGAGTTAGTGAGCTAAATCAAAATAGCAGGGCTGGGGCTCAGGTAAATCGAGTGAGGCACCTGCCTCAGATGCACAATTTTAAAGCCTGCCAAAACCTCAGTAATCAAGATAAGTAATGTTTTAATACAATATTTTAAAAATCAAAATTATTGCCAAAAATTCATTATGAAGAAAATGTAATTTTAAATAAAGACAAAATCAGTATCACTGGTTTCGCGTTTCGCCTCAGGCTCCAATACGGCTAGGCATGGCATTGCAAAATAGAATAAAAGTTCTAAGCTGTAATAAGCAGAGATGAATCTAGTGTTCACAAACGACATCAAGGACCCAAATGCACATGAGAGGCAGCCTGGCTCAGCACTCTGAATTGAAAGTTAAGGAACTCAAGCTCAAGCTCCAGCTCTCCAGTACTAAGGTGTGTAAGGAGCAAATTATTTGGCCTTTTTGATCGTTAGTTTTTTCATACATAAACTGAAAGGGCTATACCAGATGATTACTGAGATCTTTCTTAACTCTAAATTTCTATGATTACATTCTAAATTTGATTTCCTTTGATGCCTAAAAACAAATGAACACCAAATATGCTGTATTTCTGGTTCGGCCTTTGTGTTATCTAAGAACTTATGAAATGACAAATTTTAACCATTCAAATCTACCAGTGAAAATAACCACATTGAGGGTGATTTTTTGTTTGCTTAATACGAGTGCTCTCACATGTTTCAAATGCCATTCAATTATAAGATCCTACAATGAGGAGGTCGGCAGCTTTCTGTTGTGGGTATAGGGTAGCAGGGTTGATCTGTCTCCAAAAGCTGAAATAATTCACACGGCCACCCAGTGACAAGTCCACTGAAGCATAAAGTAATCGAGTTAATAAGTGACTGCTTATAATTCCCAACAATTTCCAGAAACAGGAAAATGAAAATCTAAAATTGACAATGACGAAAAGAAGGTGACAAGCATCTGGAATAAGAGTAAGAAAAAAAAGATAATCCATTAACTCTTTAAAAATAGCATGTTAAGTTAAAAGTGCTCAAAGTAGCAAGGGTTTAGAAAGCATTGGCATTAGAATATAAAAATGGAATATGAAAAACTAAAACATCTGTGCTCAGGTCCATGCATATAAAATTTTTTTTAGAATTTTTTGCAGAATCCTAAGAAATAAAGAATTCTCTGTGCCTGAGAGATAAAGGGACTCAGTAGCTTTTTTCTTCTTTCTTCAGTGAGGAAGACTGGCCCTGAGCTAACATCTGTTGCCAATCGTCCTCTTTTTGCTTAAGGAAGATTGTCACTGAGCTATAACATCTGTGCCAACCTTCCTCTACATTGTACGTAGGACACTGCCACAGTATGGCTTAATGGGCAGTGTGTAGGTCCACACCCAGGATCTGAACCCGCAAACCCTGGGCCACTGAAGCAGAGCATGCGAACTTAACCACTACACCACCGAGCAGATCCCCCCAATAGCTATTTTTTTTTTTTTTTTAAGATTTTATTATTTCCTTTTTCTCCCCAAAGCCCCCTGGTACATAGTTGTATATTCTTCGTTGTGGGTTCTTCCAGTTGTGGCATGTGGGACACTGCCTCAGCGTGGTCTGATGAGCAGTGCCATGTCCGCGCCCAGGATTCGAACCAACAAAACACTGGGCCGCCTGCAGCGGAGCGCACGAACTTAACCACTCGGCCACGGGGCCAGCCCCCCCCAATAGCTTTTTAAAAAGACTTTGTAAATAAAAACAAGGGCTATTCTTTTTTTAAAATCAACATTATTTTTTAACTTATTATTATTCAAAATTTCAAACATAGACAAGATATACAGGATAGTATAATAATCCCCCATATACCCATTAACAGTGTCGATAATTACCAACTCACGGCCAATGTTATTGCATCTGTACTCCTAGAAATTTCCCCCAATTTGAATAAAGGTCTTATTTATTTATTTATTTTGCTAAGGAAGATTTTCCCTGAGCTAACATCTGCCACCAACCTTCCTTTCTGTATGTGAGTGGCCACCACAGCAAGGCCACCAACAGACAAGTGGTATAGGTCTGCACCTGGCAACCAAACCCAGGCTGCCAAAGTAGAGTGCGCTGAACTTAACTACCTGGCCCCTGGGGCTGGCCCAAGGGCTATTCATATTAAGCCAAAAAATAAACAAATCTTTTGGGGCTTTAATTTCCTTGTTTGTAAAATGCAGGCAATTATACTTACCTCCTTACCTACGAATGAAGTTATGAAAAATAACCAAAACCTTCAAGCCTCTTGTAACACTTACTGTGGTACTTGAACATAAGAAACAACAAAATAGAAAATGGAATCAACTTTTGTTTAAATAAGTCTTTCTCTTAAGCACCTCAAAGTGCTTTGGGAGAATTTATCCTTCATTCTCTCAGTACTTCTGTGAGGCAAATGAAACTATTATCATTCATCTGTAGCAGATACAGAAATAAAAGAAAAAGGAAATGATTCAAGCTAGATCAAATGAAGAATCAACAGTAGGGGCAAAAATAAATCCATATTTTTTTGACTCCCCATGTTCTGTCATTATGATATGCCACTTCTATCTTTATGACAACATATATGGATAAAAGTTATTGTTTTCTCTAAATGAAATGGACTTATAACACTCTGGAGTTTGTACATTTAAAAGAGCAGTGCTATGTAAAATGTAGGCATTCAAACACTGACTGACTTTTAAGCTCACCTTGTAGATTCCTACAAGAACACAATCTTCACTCGGTTGTTCAGCCTACCTAGAGAAGACAGTGAGAAGGACAGAAATTAACTGCACCTGGGGTTCACTGGGATTGAACAACTGCAGCTTGCCATTTCACAGGTTTGAAATCTAAAATATTTACTTAGCAGATGCAAAACTTACTTCAGTCTTACACTGGAGAATTATACCTTTTGGGCCCAGTCCATAGCGCCACAGGCATGGATGATGCAACTTCCAACTCAGCTACAGAGTATTTTTATAGCACTTACCAAGTCATTATAACTTTATATATCTAAGACATTTTCCTTCCGATTCATACAATGGTTCCTGTTCATTGCATTTAGTCAATACAGGTTTGGATAGGGTGGAGGAGGGGAAAAAAAAAAGGCCGTGGGAAGGGTGTGGTGAGAACAGTCTGCATGAGCTAGGTTTCTCTAAATGTTGCCTATTATTCATTTCACGGGATACAGCAGCGCAAAGGCTCTTTCTCTTTCCATGGTCTGAAGAATAGCCGGCTGCGGCCTGAGCAACGTCTTCCGGGATCATTATAGGAGAGATCGCAACTACCTAAACATACAAATGGATAGTTTAAGAGTTTATATAGGAACGGGATTCTTCTCCAGTTATTTATCCCCAACTTTGAACATAGTATTAGAGGCTATGATCTACCCAACACCTAGTTCCCTAAGGCTTTTTGACAAACTAAATATAAATAAACAAACAAACCAACCAACAAATAAGTTTAAATTATATTTTTAAACAAAATAGTTTGTTATTGCTGTTATTGTTTTGATTCAGGATGTAGAGCTCATTTGGATTGCTGCTTCTAAAATAAAGCAGAAAACAGAACTAGGATACAGTAGAAAGGATAGTGAACTGGCAGTTAAGCAACCTAGATTCGCATCTTATATCTGCACTAACCAGCTCAGTTGGGCAAGGCTGATATGCTTGAGGACAGCAGTTTTCTCATCTAACAGGTGAAATACATGGTCCAAGCGATTCCTAAGATTATTTTTAGTTCTAAAATTCTTAGACTACTTAATTCCAGAACTTTTATTCTATTACTTCTATGTAGTGTTCTCATTTTTCATAATGCCATCCCTTTCATATAACATGCTTAAAAACGTTAACCATCTCTCTATTGATTAGCTTATAGGAAAAGTTTAAATTTGAGGCAGAAAAAAGGAAGCACTCATACCAAATGAGCTTTTAATAGTGCTCTTTTATAGGTATAGGTTAAAAAAATAAGAAGATTTTCTAGTTCTTCTCCAAATCCTGCCTAATAAGTCAGGCCATTTTCTGAGACAGTTTTTAAAAGGATAACATATAGCTATCTGGCAAAGTACCTGGTACATAATAGATGCTAGATAAATATTTACATACCTAACTCTTCCCCCTGGATCCCCACCTTCCCAGCACCACCACCTCCACTACCCAAAGTAAGTCTTTTATAAACTGCAAAACCCTCTTCAAATCAGAGATGCTATGGAACCAAACTGACAGCTCAATTCAGAAGAGGAGTTTATACAGACCTTTGCGTAAAAACATTCAAAAGCTTCCCAGAAAAACAAAGTATCAAAATTTCTGTTTTCAAACTGTCAAGAATAGCCTTGGGTTTATTATTAATAAAAGAAAATTTGTAAACAAATGGAAATCATCATAATTCATTGTAGTTCGAACATATTTTATATTTTCCTAAATACTTCATGAGTAAATATCACTCACTATGCAATGACCCCATTATAGTGAAATTAAATATGAATAAACATAGAGCTTATAATAAAAAAGAAAACCTAAGCCTTCTGAATAAACTGCACACACAACATGCCAAACTAAGACCCAAACCGAGCAAGAAACGCTGTCGTGAGTTTCACAAATGCCAAGAGAAACAGTCTCTCTAAAGTGCTTTCTTGACTTAGAAAAGGGATCCACCTAACAACTGATAACTAGATAAAGGGGAGACCAGTCTTCCCCCACAAAGAGGCATAAAAAAACTAGGAAAAACAATGTAATAGAAAATATTCTCAAATTTTAAAACGTGGAATATAAAAGCCTTTCTCTGTGGAGATGAACTCTTTCCATTCTCCAAGGGCTCTCTCAACATCACCAACCTCAAACACTTGGCTCACAAAAATCTGTGATGACGCAAGAAATTGCCTGGAAATAAACAAATAAACAAAAAAAGCATTCTCTCTCCCTGGAACCAGAGCTGCCCCAACACAGCAGGCAAGCAGCCAGCATGTCAGGGCTTCATTTTAAAGTCTGTTTAATTGTTCCATTCCAATTCAACAGTCCAAGCCCCTCTTCTAAGAAGACGAAAAAATAAAAAAGGATCTTCCAAGATATTATCTAGTTCTTACTTAACTAGCCCTATTGAAGAAACTCTAAGTGCTAATTAGCCACATAAACTGGGCAGATGAACTCCAAGTCTTTGTGTGTTACTAGTCAAACTTAGAAGGGTCTCTTTCTGCTGGGAGGGCCTAGCCAATCTGAAACTCACACTTGCAAACTGCACCCTAGATTCTCAATTGCATTCTAATCACTGCCATGAATTTTTCTACCTTTCAAACTATCTTTAAAAGGAGAAAGCAGTTGCTGCAACTACCTTATCATATTCTAGTTGGATTTTTGCAAACATTTATTGACTTGGCTGACATTATAGGGGTTGTAAGAACAGGAAGAAGATAAGTCAGATTTCTTTTAGCCTTTTGGTATTTTTTCCTGCTTCTTTTCTTGCCAAAAATCAACTGGCTTCCCAGTGAAGCACAAATAATAAAGTAAAACAAATAAAAACAAAAATCCCACAGCTATTTACCAGTATAAGGAAATTAAAATAATACCGTACCATGATACCAATGCAGTTCCCTTTGCATCAGTTCCTTTTTATATAATATGTCCTATGAAACTTATAATTCTAGGGGCTTGTATATATCTTCCCCCCTCAAATTCAATAAGCTACCCATTGATGTGATTTACAATCTATACAAGGAATTTTGTTAGGCAAATGTTTGTGAAGGATGGGAGTGGGAGGAAGAATAGATAATGGTAATTCTGAGATTGATTCTCTTTCCAAACTCTCAATTTATGATGAAACATGGGTCTTTCAGTTAAAGACTCCCCTGTTTTGCTACTGGCCATTTCTATAACCACCATTGAAAACTTAAAAGAAGCTCTTTTGCTTCTGACCAAGACAGAGAAGCAGGGACCAGATTTACCCTACCACCTAAAATGACCCCCCAAAATTTTAAGACAAAACATACAGCTTCTTTTTCAAGACACTGAACATCAGGCAATGAAGGCCAGTGATCCATTAGAGATGGGAAACAAACAAGGAGAGCTCTGTGATTGTCCCAACTTACTGGGTAATCTATCCAAATTTTCAGGCTATGGTGCATGGAGAGGAAACCCACATGGAGTCTGGCAGACTCCCTGAGTTGAGGAGATGGAGCTGAGGATCTGCGAAGAACCAGATAGCTAGAGTTCACAAGAGAGGTCTATGGAGAGTCCCCCTCAAATAGTCAGCAGAGTAGTGTTAGTGCATGCATGTGAGGAAACTAGTTGAGAGTAGAGAAAGGAATGATCTGAGAGGAGTAGAGGGAAGAGTGCCTGGCACTCACAAAGGGCCAAAAATAATGTCTATTCCCACCAACCAGACTGGAAAACTTCATAATTCATGGAGCACTGGGTAGAGTACTCAGAAGGCTCTTGTCTTGATAATGGAGAATAATCAGCTTTAAACTAAATGGTTCTGGTCCTGCTGAAACAAATCTTAAAAGCAAGACCCAAAAGGATCAAACTGTTTCCAACTAATTTAACTTCATCCCAAAACAAACCTCAAGGTTTACAGGAATACAAAAATATACAGCACCCACTAACTCACAAAACTGGCACCCAATGAAAGATAATCAGACATGCAAAGAAGCAGAAAAGTACGATTCATAATGTGGAGAAAAATCAACCATTGAAATGGACTCAGAACTGAAACACATGCTAGAATGAGCAAACAAGGACATTAAAATTTATTATAACTATAGTCCATATGTTTGAGAAGTTAAGATACTACAAAGACCCAAAATCAAGCTTCTAGAGATAAAATCTATGATGTATGAGATGACAAATACACTGGATGAGATTAATGGTAGATTACGCATTGCAGAACTTGAAGACATAACAACAGACACTAGTAACAACAAATCATAGACAACAACAATTAGTAAGCTTGAAGATATAGCAATGGAAACTATCCAAAATGAAACAGAGAGAAAAAAAAATCAACAAAAATAAAAAGAGCATCAGGGAGCTGTGGGACAACTTCAGGTGGCTTAATATATGTGTAATAAGAGGCCCCAGGAAGAGCAGGTCAAGAGAGAAGAAAAAACATTGAAAAAATAGTGGCCAAGGTTTTCCTAAACTTGAGGAAAATTACTAACCCACATATCAAAAAAGCTCCACAAACCCCAAGCATAAAAAACATAAAGAAAATTACACAAAGGTACATCATAATTAAATTGCTCAAAACCAAGAAAAAAGAAAAACTCAAAAGGAACAAGAAAAAAAAAGACATATAAAGAGAAACAAAGATAAGGATGAGGACAGTTTCGACTTGTAAACAATGAAGGTGAAAATACAGTGGAGTAACAACTTTAAAAAACTAAAAGAAAAAAACTTCCAACCTAGAATTGTATTCCCAGCAAAACTATCTTTCAAAAACAAAGGCAAAATAAAGACCTCTCCAGACATACAAAAAAGCTGAACTAATTCATCAGCAGCTGACCTACACTAAAAGAAATGATAAAGTAAGTCCTTCAGGCAGAGGGAAAATAACATCAGATGGAAATCTGGATCATACAAAGGAATGAAGAACACTGGAAATAGTAACTACTGGGTAAAAACATAAGATATTTTACTTATTATTTAAATATGTTTTAATGATAACTGCTTAAACAAAACTGTATTGTAGGATTTGTAACTTATGTATAACTTATGTGTAAGTAAAATGTATGACAACTACTGTAAGGCTACTGTAAGGTTCTTATATCATATGTGAAGTGGCATAATATCACTTAAAGATAAACTGTGATAAATTAAAGATGTATACCATAAATCCTAAAGAAATCACAAAAATGACTAAACAAAGAGTTATAGCTAATAAGACAACAAAGGAGGTAAAATAGAATCATAAAATTATTTAATCCAAAAGAAGACAGGATACAAGCTTAATGTACAAGGTCAAATGCTTCCTTACATACCAGCAATGAATAATTGAAATTTGAAGTTAAAAACACAACACCATTTACACCAGCACCAAAAAAATAAAAATACTTAGGTATAAACCTAACAAAATATGTGCAACATCTGTATGAGGAACTACAAAACACTGATGAAAGAATCAAAGAAGATATAATAAATGGAGAAAATTTCCATGTTCATAGATAGGAAGACTCAATATTGTCAAGATGTTAGTTCTTCCCAACTGGATCTATAGATTCAATGCAATCCCAATCAAAATCCCAACAAGTTACTGTATACAGATATGGACACACTGATTCTAAAGTTTATATGGAAAGGCAAAAGACCCACAACAACCAACATAATATTGAAGAAGAAAAAGTTGGAGGACTGAAACTACCCAACTTCAAGACTTACTATAAAGCTACAGTAATCTAGACAATGTGGTATCAGAGAAAGAACAGATAACTAGATCAATGGAACAAAATAGAGAGCCAAGAAGTACTCACAGAAATACAGTTAACTGAATTTTGACAAAGGCCCAAAGTCAATTCAATGCAGAAGGACAGTCTTTTCCATAAATAGTGCTGGAACAACCGGTCATGCACATGAAAAAAAAATTAATCTAGACAGTGACCTTACACCCTTCAGAAAAAATTAGCTCAAAAGGGATGATAAAACTAAATATAAAACTCAAAACTATAAAACTTCTAGAAGATAACTAGCAGAAAATCTAGGTAAAGAAAACCTTGGGATGGCAATGACTTTTGCATACACCACCAAAAGCACTATCCATGAAAGAAAAAATTGTTAAGTTGGACTTCATTAAAATTAAAAACTTCTGCTCCGCAAAACACACTGTTAAGAGAATAAAAAGATAAGCCATAGACTGGGAGAAAATCTTTGCAAAACACATATCTGATAAAGGACTTGTATCCAAAACATAAAAGAGATTCTTAAAACTCAACAATAAGAAAATAAACAATCCAATTTAAAAAATGGGTAAAAGATCTGAACAGACACCTCACCAAAGAAGATATACAGATGACAAGTATATGAAAAGATGCTCAACCTCACATGTCATTAGGGAATTGCAAATTAAAACAATAAGATACCACTACACACTTTCCTAATGTGTTGTAAGTCTCTCTCCGTAATAGTCAGTTGTTTAAAATGTAAAGAACTACTTCTTCATTCATCACTAAATAAAAATATTAATGAAAATCAAATGTATGTAAATCAGTGGACTAGTCACTTGAAGGAAGTACAATTGGACAATACAGGGATAGATGTCAGATTACAAGGGACAAGTAATACTGATGATAACGAAGTGTAGTGACAGGTGTACTTTACTTTGCTACAGTGTAAAAAGGCTCAGAGAATGACTAAAAGAAAGGCAAATTTTAGGTTGATGGAGAGTTCTTAGCCAGAAAGTTTTAAAAAATGGCAAGGTTAATACATCAGAATTTCAAGCAAAATACAGAAGAAGCTAAACACAAGTTCTTAAAGTTAAATTCTTTTTAGTCTTCTCATTTATGAAACTTCAATAAAGCAGACCTCAACGGGAGGACATGAGATTAGGGAAGAGCTAATTTTAAACAGTGAATTCCAGGATAAGTTTACTCATAGTATGTCTTGTGTATGAAAATTATGGAAACACATAGTTCCAGTATCATCTAATTGAACTATTTCTCCTGAGTTTATAGACTTCAGTTGATTGTTCTAACATTTATCAACTTTGGCACTCTCCCATCAAGGGCCAAGAATCTCTGGCTGTTATGCCTCAAGTGGAATAAGAGTCCTGGAGAAATTCTTTTGCTACCACAACTATTTCAGTGCAGTTCTAAGTGGTGAGTCTCAATGCTTGCCAAATTCCTCTGGTTTGATCCTATCTGGATAAACCCAAAACATAGCAAAATAGCACCTTCTACTTCCTGGCCATACTTGATTGGCCAATATCCTTTCAAAATCAAGCCTGCTTTTATGTTTAAGAAACTGCTGGCCTAAGGCTCTTAATCTAATATATGACATTAGGTACAAAAAGGCACAGGAACGTTCATTCCATTCTCCATCACTTCTACACTCTCTTTCACTTCCAACCTGACGGAAAAAGTGATCAAAAAAACCCTGAGTGTTTACAGCTTTTATGTACCTAACCATAGTTACGGATCAAATTATATGAGCTTGAAAGTTCCTTGGGAATCAAGGTTTCCATAAGGAGGACCCACTATGTGCTAAGCTCATAGTGCCTCTTTCTAGTTGCACTTAACTTCTGTCTAAAATGTAAGTCAAAGCTCTTTCTTCTGAGTCCTCTCTTTATTAGAGAGGCAAAATTCTTTCTGTCTAGTTTCTAAAGGTCCTTCCACCCACTTCAAGCTTAAACACATTCCAGTCAGCCAATGACATTTCTGCACTCAGAGAGGCCCTTAACTGAAATTCCCCCTGAATCACCTTTTATGACGCTTCCAAACTTTCTTTTGTTGCTTCTGGCCTTTGCTAATTCAATCTCAGCTTTTATTTCCTAACTCATTCCTTTCCCCCATACCACGAGGTTCAACAATGTAGTTCTGCTTCCTTTCAACAGGACAAACTTAGGCCCCTTTATGTTGAACATAAGATAACTTCCACCGACACTCCAAACAGGTACATATAATTTTACATAGAAGCCATTCAACACACAGTTCAATGAGTTTCAAAATAACACTAAATATCTCAAACTTTCAAAAATATGAATATAACATTCTATATAAATTACATTCTAGATTTATATCCTAGTGTTTAGCTAAATGAAAAGCAGGGGCCAAACCCAAGGACACTCCAGATGTCTTCTTTGGGTGAGTTTAACTTGCACAAAAAGTTTTTGGACAAGATAGACTGCAGCTCAATACAGATGAAAGTCATAAAGAAAAGGGGAATGCATGAATCACAGCCATGGTATAAATAACTTTCAGAAATTCATTTCCAGAAAACTCACTCCATTCATACTTTAATCCTGAGTTTAAGAGAATCCTATTGAATGGGAGGCTCAGAATAGTCAATTATAAAATACCTATTTTAAATTATTATTTACGTATATAACATTTCCCTATGATCAGTAATTTTTATAATAATTTATTGAACATAATATGTATAACAGGCTCTTTATATAACAGATTATATAATTCAATACTCACAATAACCCTCAAGTATTATTGTTATTATTCCCATATTACAGAGAAAGAAACAGAGTCCCCAAAAGCTTTAGTTACTTGCCCAATTCACCCCACCAGTAGGTGGCAGAAAAAGATATTCAAACCTAAATCTGTCTGGCTCCAAAACCTGTCCCCTTTCCAGTAGGGTGCATCCCCTTTCTGTTAAAGCAGTTATTACTCTTCTAGTGCTTTGGAAAATTCCTGACACATGGAGCCTAGGGTAGTATAGTGGAAAAACACTTGTGAGCATAGGCTCTGGCAGGTATGTGACTTTGGCCTAATCACGTTCCTTTAGTAGGCTGTCTTTTTCTCATCTATAAAATGAAGAGTTTGGGGAGATAACATCTCAGGGTCCTTCAAGCACTAATATTTTATCATACTATGATTCTATGAATTATAGACAATGCAAAAAACATGGACTAAGGGAAAGGATGAGTGACAAAAGGGTTAATTGGGCATTAGAAACAATATAGCCAAACAAATTCATGAGAAAGTGTGGGTTGGCATTGCCAGGTACAGGGCAAGAGAGTCGATGGAATTTCCAGAAAGAGTGGTGGAAAAGAACAACCCATTGTATATAAGAAAGCTCTACTCATCAACAAAAGACAATTATCCAGGACAGAAGACAGTGACTGGGTAGGGTTTCTGTTTTGCTTTGCTTTCAATATTCGGGCCAGTAAAGTCAGCCTGTGCACCGAATGATTTAAAACCTTCATAATACATGCCTTCTCCTTATATTCAGCCAAGAGTCTTCAAGCAGATTTCCTGATTCTTCCTGGGTTTTGTAAAATGATGAGAACCAAGTGCCTCTATGCTTAGCTGCCATCACTAAGAGCCAATATGAGATATATGCAGACAAGCTCCGTGGGAAAATATCACAAGCCAGAGGAATGGACACCAAAACGAGCTCTCTACCAGCTGGGGCTAGACAGACAGCGAATGGCCAAGAGTTCTCTAGGCCTTGGGAGACCTAATGGTTTAGGATGCACTATCAGAGATGAGAAGGGGTCAAATTTCTAGGCTTGTGAGAGAGTACACAGGCTCGGGTTATCCATCTTAAGCTCTCTCAGTAGATAAATATGTTTTATGAGGAAAAACGAAAAGAAAAAAAGAGAAGATGAACAGCCTGGCAAAAGAACCTAAGACAAACCAAATCTTCCACAGGATATTCGCAGACAAAAAGGTTGAGGAATGCGGTGGGGGGGGATAAAAACTCCCCAAAGAGGAAGGGAGGGGAAAAAAATTAAAGCCATTAGTTCTGACATTTGCCAAGGAAGGAGAGTGAGAACACTGTTCAAACTGCCTATAAACCAGGTAAAAGTGACTTGGTTCTGACAGAGTCTACACACCCTAACAACATCCTACCACCAAGGTCACCACCCCTGTGCCTCCAACTGAAGACTGCAGCTGCTTTTTAAAGCCCCAGAAAGTAACAGGCAGAATATAGTGACAGCTGGAAGGAAGGGAATTAGGCAAGGACTTGGCATAAATAGAGGTATAGCCAAAAGGCAAAATATGAAGGGAGAGAGACAATTTTCCTGTGTGGTTTATGTGTGTGGAACGGGGAGAGCTCAAAATAAGAGCTAGCCGAAGTTCTGGCCTTGATTGCCTGAAGGATTTGGCAGGCTCAGCCTTTCTCATGGCAGGCGGGCCAGGAAATGAAGCTTTCAGCTGGCTGCTTCAATGTTTGCCTCACTGTCACCATTTTCATGTTTGGCCTCTGGCTCGTTTGCATTTTCTTTTTCTTTAGGGATTAGCACGTAAGTGTGCACAAAATCCATTTTGTTTATTCAAGCCTGTGTCATTTCCTCCCACACTGTATTTGTCAACTAGGGACTTCAAGAACATGAATTCTGACACAGGACAAAACAAACTATAGAATTAGATGATCTGCACAGGACCTGAGAGACATCTGATCCAGCCTCATTTTACAGATGGGGAAACTAATAGTAGCTAAGAGAAGTCAGGCGATCTGCTGAAATCACACTGATATTTAGGGTAGCAAGTCAGGACAAGTATCCGGCTCTCCCATTCCCATCCAGCCAGTGCCCTGTCCACAAAAATCAGTGTGCCTTCAGGACTCCATCTCAGACAACACATTACTCTCTACCCACCAAACCCTTTTCAGTGAGGATTTGACAAGAATTGTGCTACATTCTCTCGTTCTCTCTCTCTCTCTCTGCTTTCTGATCAAAAATTCACATATAAGTTTGGTAAGTACTTATCCAAAATGTTAGGTCTCAAGAAAAAGAAAGAAACTTGGAAACTTATGTAACTAATAGCACTCAGAAGAAAGACTCAACCTAAAACCAAGCAGAATGCATGTCATTAAAAGCTAGTTTCATAAATTTAGATTTTGGCTTTCACTTATCATATATAATTATCACTATTATTAAATTATGAGGATAATGCTGCTATCCAAATAAACTGTGGCCTCAGTTTATCCTGCCATGTTGATTTACAAAGCAGCAGGTTAATTTCAAGCCTTGGAAACACCTTTTAAACTTGCTTATTTTAAAAAGTAGTATTTCTAGTTCAAGGAACAAACTTAAAAATCAGAAAAGAATATTTTCACTTGAAAGTAAATTTTTAAAAACTGTAAGAAAGAATGAAATGTTACTTATGACAGAACTGAACCTGTGTTACAAAAACTATTTTATGATTTTTCCCTTTTTGCCAATGGAATTAATTTCTGATATTGAGATAAAAATCACATTCTCAGAAGTAGGTGAGCTTTAGAGGCTTAGAAGATTCTGACTCTGAAAGGAGTTCGTGAGTGTGGAGGGGAGGTGGATGTCCATCAGTTTGCATGTAAGTTCATAACAAAGCAATCTATCTTGTTTTCTCAAATTGCAGTTGGTTCTACTAAAAAATTTTTTTTCAGTACTACGAAAACCACGGTACGTGACATTTAAAAATAAAAACTTCACCTCTCTTTGCCACATCTACTTTGAGAATGAAGACCATTTTCAACAGACTGTCAACAATCCAGGAAATGTCAACATCACTCTGAAGGGAAGCACAGTTATTGAGATGGACCCCAGAGGAACCCTGCGGAGGGACTTCAGTCACATCAACATAGACCTCGGTCTCCTTGGAAAGAAAAAGACGAGGCTACAGGTTGACAATGGTGGGGAAATAGAGAAGACTGGCTGCGGTTCGCAGTAGCTGGAGTCCGGTACAGAACATGACCAAGGGTGTTACTCTGCTTCTATTACAAGATAAAGTCCAGGTATGCTCACTTCCCATCAACGTTGTTACTCAGGAGAATAGGTCTCTCACTGAAATCCAGAATTTCCTGGGTGAAAAACCATCTGCAGGGTATCTCAAGCCCAGAAAGATGAGTTAACGCTTGGAGGGAACAACACCGTGTTAAAGTGAGCTGCTGTGTTTCAGCAAGCCACGACAGTTAACACAATGTCAAAAATTGGGGATGGCATCTATGTCTTTGAAAAAGGAACAGTTCTGCAGGCAGATGAATAAGATCTAAAAGTTGCACAGCTATGGAAACAAGATTCTGGATGATTCCTGAGACCCATTTGTGATATTTTTAAGAGATAATAAACACTGTCTATCAATCTGGGGGGGGAGATGGGACATTTCACTAACTAGTTAAATTAGCTAACTTGCTTTCCTTCTATACATTTTCACTTAACAGATATTCTTGAAGTGCTTACCCTGTACCAAACACAATTCAATTCTGGGAATAAGGAGATTAAAGACACAACTTCTGATATAAAGGCACTCAGAGTTAATTGGGCGAAACCAAAATGTGAACGGAATGACCCAGAGTCGTACGTCCAGTGATAATAGACACTTTGGAAGCACACAGGAGGGGGACTAGGCCAGCCTGGGAAGGTCCAGGAAGGCTACCTGAAGAAAGTGACACCTGAAGTCAAAGATAAACAAGAATTAGCCTGGTTTAAAAAAAAAGAAGGCAACAAGTCTCTCTTCTATTATTCTTTATGATTTCTTATCTAACATACTTGTTTCACGTGAGAATTTGATCTATTCCATAAACCTTTTGAAGGAAAAATGACATCGTTATCATTGCTACATCAAAATAAGATTAGTTAACAAAGAGTATTAGAACACATTAAATATCGAAAGACGAAGACTTGAAACAAATCCAACACTAGCGTTAATGCAACACCCAAACAGGAAAGAACATGGCAACTCTGCAGAGTTCAAGGAGCTTTGTCTACCCATGTTTCTACAGAGCACTACCTGAAGACAAGGCATTTTGCTAGGTGTTGTAGTAGATGCAATAATGAATAAAGCTGGGCTCTCTCATCAGGGAATTTATCAGCTCACCTTACCTGCATGTTCCTTCCAGGGAAAGAGAGAAAGGTCTGGAGTGGCAGTTCTCAAACTTTTTGGTCTTGGGACTCATTTATACTCTTAAAAATTATTGAGGACTCACAGAGGTTTTATTTATGAGGCATAGGTTTACCATATTAAGAATTAAAACTGATGAATTTTTAAAGCATTTATTTGTTAATTCATTTAAAAGTAACACTAATAGGGGCCGGCCCGGTAGCGTGATGGTTAAGTGCGCACGTTCTGCTTCAGTGGCCGGGGGTTTGGATCTTGGGTGCAGACATGGCACCACTTGGCAAGCCATGCTATGGTAGGCATCCCACATATAAAGTAGAGGAAGATGGACATGGATGTTAGCTCAGGGCCAGTCTTCCTCAGTAAAAAGAGGAGGATTTGCAGCAGATGTTAGCTCAGGGCTAATCTTCCTCAAAAAAAAAAAAAAAAAGTAACACTAATAAACCCATAACGTCTTAACATAAATAAGATATTTTTATGAAAAATAACTATATTTTCTAAAACAAAAAACCTTAGTGAGAAGAGTAGCATTGTTTTACACTCTTGTAAATCTCTTTACTGTCTGGCTTAACAGATGACAGCTGGACTCTGACATCTGGTTCTTCATTCAAGGTGTTACAGTATCATTCTTCACATGTCCTATAGAAAACTCCACTGTACACTCATGAGAAAATAAGAATAAGAAAGGCAAAGAATGTCTTAATATTATGATGAAAATAGTTTGACCTCACAGACCCCTTGAAAGGATCTCTGGGGACCCCAAGGAATCTTAGACCACATGGTGAAAACCACTGGCTGATAGCAAAAAAAGTAGTGTTCAAAACTGGGTAAATTAAGAGTATGAATTCAAGCTTAATTTACTTGAGGTTTTAACTTAGGGAAATCTTGCAGTAACAGAGTTCCTTACCTAGCTCACTAATTCTAGGCGTGGACTTGTTTCTTGTAACTGAGACACCCAGGTTGCATGAATGGGTCTACTCTCTCTCTGGCATTGTGAAGATTACCTCCTCAAAGGGCTTAGGCTGGGTAGGTCTTGGCACAATGACAAGGGTGATCACATGCCTGCTTTGCCTGGGACAGTCCCAGTTTCTTCCTATTGTCCCAGAGTAGTTCTTAGTAGAGCCCCTTCACTCTCAAAAGTATCCATTTTGGATAAATTATATGGTCACCATGACAATGCCTCACATAAGCAGTGCTGGCATTCCACTTCTTCCCAACGTGTGGACAGGTCTAAAGAAGCCACGCTGGGTTTGGTTTCTACAGTAATATTCCTCCAACCTCTTCTCTTAAAAGACAATTGTGGGAGAAAATTCCTCCTGATCTCTTGGTTTCTGTGTCTTCTTTTGCTTTCTTAAACTGTTGACAGCAATCATTCCTGACAGTTCTATGTGACAGCAAGTGCTGCTTGTTTTCTTGCTATGTACCTAGTTCAGAGTTTGAACTACAGGATGTCACTTTGCCCAATGGCTTCAAATTGGTTGGAATATAACCTATAGATGGAGGGCTACAAATTAACCAGACTGGGTTAACCACTAGCCTAATAAAATCCTAGACAAAACCTAGCACATAGATTCACCCCATCACCAAAAATTGAGGCAACTCAGTAAGACAAGAGACTTCTTTGAAAAAGTATTAAATCTACTGGGCCAAACCCTGTAAGCATGGCATGGGGTATGAAGAGGACTGGAAAAGAAGTGCTATAAATTCTGATTAGTGAACCTCGGAACTGACGTGAATTTGGCTTTGCATCCCCAAGTGGCAGAGAAACCTCAGCAGTTATCCAGTGCTTTCAGAGAGTAGGGTAAAATTATAAGAACATTTTTATGAGTTGTGGCTGGCAAGCCCTAGCCTGTTAAAACTCTTTAAAAACCAATGCCTTGGTGGAGGTAACATTTACTGTTTACTGTAGCTCTGGTTGTTAAGGGTTATTGCTAAGGTCCCAGTTTTCCATGACATCAGCAGCATTCCAAGGGAAGTGTGTGTCAGTGACTTTCAGTAATGACTCCCTTTTCCAAATGTTCAAAGCTTCTGCCAAGCTGCCCTACACCTGCACACCAGCTGAGTTGGAGGAAAAGGAAAAGCAAGATGGATTAAGTGGGATTTTTGTCTGGGTTCCTTAATGAGACTAAAGGCTTTTCTTCCTTCAGTGTTTGGTTTTGTGCAATAAATTGATGCCAGTCCCTTCAGGAGTGACATGACTCATCCTTAACTTTTCACAAGCCAATCTGACCATCTCTCATGACCTCTCGCTGTCGTATTCTGGACTGGCCTTTCAAGAGTGTTCTTCTGCAGGAAAAGTGCAGGGCTTAATGAGATGATCAGCATGGCATGCCAACACTCTGGGACGGTTTCCGAGGGAGGCATCTGCTGCTCCCCAAATCAGCAGGAAACAGAAGCAGTGAAGAGACGCTCTGTGTAGCTGCTTTAAAGATCACCTGGCTTTCAACATTGCAAACCAGATGTGTATTCCCAAGGCAGCAGCAGAGCTCACACCAGAGGCTGTCCTCACCAAAACAGGGACCTGTTTAACTTAACCCAAGGGTGCCCACTGCCCGCTCAATAAGCTTAGGACTGGTAGGGGGGCCAATACTAATTGTGTACTTATATAAGACCTTTCTTCCCAAAGGTTTAAAGCATTTTATCAACATTAAACTGAGTATTCACAATCCTCTGAAAGGTGGCAAATATTAGTTCACGTGGGAGAAATTGTGGGATAGGGTCGAGGAGAATTAAGTCCTCTGTCAAGAGTGAGGCAGTAGGAGAGCTCATGGAGGCCCCACACCTTTACCCCTTAGGTAATGACCCCTTTCAGGGCTTGCTCCAGTCCTGCCTAGGCTAGACTAACCTGCTTTTTTTTTAAATTGGCACCTGAGCTAACATCTGTTGCCAATCTTCTTTTTCTTTTTTTTTTCTTCTTCTCCCCAAAACCCCCCAGTACCTAGTTGTATATTCTAGCTGTGAGTGCCTCTAGTTGTGCTGTGAGGCACGCTGCCTCAGCATGGCCTGATGAGCGGTGCCATGTCTGTGCCCAGGGTCCGAACTGGCGAAACTCCGGGCCTCCGAAGCGGAGCGTGCGAACTTAACCACTTGGCCCGGGGGGCCCCCTAACCTGCTTTTTTATCCCAATCAAAGGGTTGTGAAAAACAAGCACTCTTGTTAACAACAATGACGCAAAGCTTGAAGCTGTCAAAGGAAAACAAGAACAATTTTATGTAAAGACAAAGGAATGTCCTCCTAAGGGTTTTGAATAGAATGATTTGTGCATTCAATATCTATTTCTATGAATGACACAAGGCAGATGATTCAATCTTTCCGTATCTCAGTTTCCTCATCTATAAAAGCTAAAAAAAAAACATTTAGAATATCTCCAAGAGATATTTCAAAATTTTAATAATTAATGTTTTGACTTGCATGGAGATCTTTGAGGGAGGATCTCTGAAGTGCTATAAAGTGTCCTCTTTTACAGTACATTACACAGTTCTGGAGGAAATTCCTTTAATTACTGGTATATTTGTTCTTAGGAAATAGGAATAAATTCATGTGTTTTTAAGTGATTTTTTAAAATAAAAAGTCTCTATAATTACAAAAAATAATAATCACTTTCATCTTGTAGAAACAAGGAATTTTTTTTAAGCCGTAGGAGTGGCACCCCTGTGGTTTACAGCAGCCACAGATAACAGACTAACAAAAACAGCTTTTTCCCAGTTTCTCTTAGACTTCATCAAAAAGAATTCAAACACGAAAAAATACTACAGAAATCATTCTCATTCCACTACAGATTGCCTATGAAGATTGAAAACCCAACTCTCGGGTTCAATTCCTGAATTAAACTATGAAAGTCTGTGCAGTGTAATCTCACATCGAGTCCTGAGCCTCAAGTCCCCTGGATAATTTTTAAAGGGGGAGTTTTACAATTATGGCTTGTTAGCAAAAGATTGAGCTATTACCAACTAGAAAACAATTCTTTCAATAAACTTTCTGGTACATAGAATTAACAGTTATCCCTGAGACCAAATTCCACAATCATTTTCATAAATAAATACATAAATTAGGAAGCAGAGAGAGGTTTTTATCCAAAATGCTTAAATCCTAAGAAAAGAGAATTGGAAAAACAAAGTTTCTTTTCTTCTTGAAGACAAAAGATTTAATGAGTTACTAATCCCTCAGTAAAGTCCCTTTGGTAACTTCCCTATTCTAAGCCATACTAATTTTGCTGGGAGACTGTGCTGTTAAAAGACGTTGTTTCATTATGTTAAACTACACAAAAGCAATATAACCAAACGGGGAAATATGCTTCTTATTTTGTTATGCTACCAACCTATACTTATCCAGAAATTCTAACTGCCAAGTGCCTTTTATCTAATGCAGACTACATCTTTCACCACGCACCCTTCACCACACAAAGTAACGTCATTCAGAGTGGAAAACTCAGAATAAAAACCTGAGCCCTGGAAAAAAATACTAAATGGGAATCTGCCTCCAGCTCTGCAGATTTTCAAGCTTCTCCTGGCCTCTTGGGTCTGGAAGCTAAACTTTTGTGCCCAAAATATGGCTGGATGAGGAAGGCAGTCTCAAATCACACCCTGAGGGCTAGGAACGGAACACACAGTCTACAATCCTCAAAGAGGTCTGAGGGCTTGCGCTACAGAGATCCTTTCTCATTGGCCCTTGGTGATGTCATGCCCATGTCTCCAGGGCCCAGGAAATGCACCATGACTAATGGAGTGCCTCGTTTGTGAATACACATTCCATCTCAGAGGAGCAGCAACAGGCAGAGTTTCAAGGCAACGAAGGCCCGGATAGAGAGCACCCGTCAGCCATGCACAGAGGGCCTTCAGTAGTCCTGAAATAGACTGCTCTTGTTCACCTCCCTGGAAAACCCTTCAGCAACTGCCACTGCAGGAAAGTAACCCTAAAACTGGTTTGTCTTGTTTTCAAAAGTACTCTCTTTCAGGAAAGAAAAGTGGGCATTGTAATAGGGGACACATCCTTACAGATTCCTAATGTATTAAGGCAGGGTTGGCAAACTTTTTTTCTGTAAAGGACAAGATAATACAAATTTTATGCTTTTCAGGCCTTATGATCTCTGTTGAAACTATCCATTTCTGCTCTTGTAGTGCAAAAGCAGCCATAGACAATACCTACATGAATAAG